TCAGGCTGGCCGGGCTTGGAAGGAGTCTCCGGCTGGCTGGGCTTCTCCGGGGTTTCAGGCTGGCCAGGGGCGACAGGTACCGGCTTGCTAGTTGGGACGACGGGAATCACCGTGCCGTTTTGGAACGGCGGGATGGGAACAGGAGCATGAGTGGGCTCCTCGCACTCCTCGCAAACGGTCAAGGTAGTGTTCTGGAACGGCGGGATGGGGCTAGGAGCATGAGTGGGCTCCTCGCACTCCTCGCAAACGGTCACAGTGGTGTTACGGCCCGGGATGCTGGTGCCAGTCGGGATGGGCTTGGTTGTCGGGATGCCGGTGCCAGTCGGGATGGGCTTGGTTGTCGGGATGCTGGTGCCAGTCGGGATGGGCTTGGCTGTCGGGATGCTGGTGCCAGTCGGGACAGGGACACCCGTGCCCGTGCCAGTATGGGCAATTGGAGTGGGCTCCTCGCCAGGGCAGAAGGTGGCGGTGACCGTGATAGTGTTGGTCTCGGTGATCGGGATCGTCAGGGTCTTCGAGCCATGGGTGACAACCGAGCTGGTCACCGGACAGTCAGTGGTCGTGTAGGTAGTAGTGAGGGTGACCCTGGCGTCCGGCTCAGCGCTCGCCGCAGGTTTGTGCGATGGCCCACCGGCAGCACGGCCCTGCATGACACCAGCGAAGGCTGGGCCGGTCAAGGCCAGGAATGCAACGGTTCCCTTAACCATCTCGAGGGATGATCAGTGTACAAACACAAAGGGAGGCTTTTGCGAAGGACTAAGAAAAGGGAGGAAAGGAAAACACAGAACTTTTGGATCTAAACGAGTGAACAAAAGACAGATTTCCAGCGAGCGGATAGTGAGGGATAAGAAAAGTTGTCTGATTGTCACGGACAAGAGACACGAACTTATACCTCCTGGTGTCATGTCCAGTGGCCGTTTTCATGATATCGACGAGTTATGATGGTGGAGATGCCACTGTAGTATCCATTGAACTCAGCACCGGTGGATGGCTCACACGGAGATCGAAAGCTCAACCTTGGGTACAAGTGCTTCATTGGGTGATATGGCAAGAAACGACGAAGTGAACCATGGAAAACCAAAGGGTCAGTGTTATGAGAAAAGCAGGCAGTCGATGCTGGGAAGCTACCCCTGTCTGGCTCAGAAGGGAGTGTAACATCCCGCCGTATGATCCGGCTGAAGACGAGCCCACAAGCCCACAGTACCCACGTCAAACTTTGAATTGGCCCAGGAAATGGCAATGCCCTGAACCAAGGCAACCGATTTTTCTTCCGCTTAGTCGTCTTGTATTTTGTATCGGAAGAAGCTTGACCAACAGAAGGGACACATGCCGTTCTGCGACGTTTGACCGGCACATGGCGCCTTGCCAGATGATACCATATCAGAATAATGTTCCAATTACTGGGGGAGGACAAGCACTAGCTGGTAGGGACTAATAGTTTGGGGGTGTATCAGCACCCCCACCTTCACAGACTTTAGTGTGCTAAATTGTTAAAGAAGCTCATCCGGAATGTGGACCCTTGGGAATCGATACGTCCCTGCAACGTGCAAATCAAGTTTGATTATATCAGATCAGGCCTCGAGAGTTGGTACGCCACTGACCACTGATGCCACCCAACGTTCCAAGTAGGCGGCCACATCCGCTCCGTAACAGGGCATCTTCTGCAGATTACTTCGGCCGTAGGAGTAAACAACTGGTCAGTCTCCACTGACATCGATGACGATGACACACAAAGAGAGACATTGTCTCTCTCTCTCGTCCATCATTTCCTGATCCCGGGCCTTGAATGGCAGGATTCAAAGGTGGTTACAACTGTACTTGATTTTCCAATCCATTGGATCCTTTCTCGAATGTGGTACCTAGCAATCGGTGGCAACATCCAAGAAATGATACCTAGGGAACAAAAAATGGATGGCCAGAGCTTGTAGGCATCATCCACTCACGCATAGGCATCAGGTCAAAGACACCCTGCATCCGGCGGATGGAACCTGAGAGAAGGTGCCTGCAGGGACGTAGGTTCCAACCAGGGCACAGTAAAACAGGTTCCTTGGGTGGGTATCACAGGAGAATTGGTTGAGTACAACCTAAGAGTAGTAGAGTAGGAAGTGATGAGTAGGCACACCAGGTCGGGGTGGAGGTAAAGGTAACGGTTGCCAGGCCGTTTGCGGTAAAGGATCTTAGATCGAGGCCATGTCATGGTGGATCCCGCGATATGCACGATGGACGATTCGGGAGTGGCGCCGCAAGTCACGAGTCAGCCGGGTGGTCCGAGCGTAGTGGTCACCTGATGTATTGCTGTCTTAATAATCAGATGTCTATCTTCGGGCTAGGGCTTAGGGCTGAGGGCTTCAGACCCATGGTAACGCGGACCGCGGAACGCGTCAACGAGGGACGCGTTAATGGCTTCTGGGGAGATACTCGGACAATGGCCGTAGACCCGAATCACTACATCAGAACACACTCCGCCGCAATGCCTCATTCAATGTCCCCAGATGGCGCTCCCTCCCATCCGAGTGATGCGGAAATCCTTCCCGATGCCCCCGATGCCGAGACAACCTCCACCGAGGGTACTGGTTCCAGGGTGCAGCCAGATGAACCGACAGGCGACAAGCTAGCAGATCTCCTTTTCGACGGTGACGATGACGATGAATTCTCTTCGTCCAGCGCACCAGATGCAAAGAAGTCAGCTGTAGAGGCTCCAGTGTGAGTGCAGTCGGCGTATCCTGGTGGAACGAAGGACTGACCCTATCCAGCCCTGCTCCTCAGCCGGTCGGAGTTGACACCGACACGATGCTGGCATTCTACCAGCGTCTCTTTCCATTCCGATATCTTTTCCAGTGGCTAAACCACGGCATCATTCCGTCCCCGGATTTTGGGAACCGCGAGTTCGCGCTGACTCTGCAAAACGATGCTTATCTGCGATACCAGTCTTACGCCACGGCAGACTTGTAGGTAGCAACAATCCGAAGGTGTGATGCGTGCTGTGGCCTGACCTTATGTTTGCGACAGATTCCGAAAAGACATCCTTAGGATGAACCCCTCTCGTTTCGAAATCGGACCAGTCTACAACACCAACCCGCGGGATCGGAAGACGTTGCGCGGCGGTCAAATGAAGCCCGTTTCCAAAGAAATGGTGTTTGATATTGACTTGACAGACTACGACGATATCCGTTCGTGCTGCGCGAAGGCAAACATCTGTGAAAAATGCTGGGCATTCGTCACCATGGCCATCAAAGTCGTCGACGCTGCTCTGCGAGAGGACTTCGGCTTTGAGCACATCTTGTGGGTCTACTCGGGTCGTCGTGGAGCGCACGCTTGGGTGTGCGACCCCCGCGCCCGTAGCCTGCCGGACGACCGCCGCAGGGCCATCGCAGGATACTTGGACATCGTTCGGGGAGGGTCCTCCAACGGCAAGCGCGTCAACCTGAAGCGGCCGCTGCACCCGCATCTGACCCGCAGTCTCGATATCCTCAAACATTACTTCGCACAGACCACGCTAGACGACCAAGATACCTTCCTCAGCCCCGAGCAAGCGGAGCATCTCCTCGGCCTGCTCCCCGATAAGACCCTCAGCGACGCACTGCGCAGGAAATGGGAGTCCTCCCCGGGCCGATCAAGCCCCAGCAAATGGGCCGACATCGACGCGCTGGCCAAGACAGGCAAAAGCAGCACGCTCAACCCGACCACCCTGCGCGACGCTAAACAGGACATCGTCCTAGAGTACACATACCCGCGTCTAGATTCCGAAGTCAGCAAAAAGATGATCCATTTGCTGAAGAGCCCCTTCGTCATCCACCCCGGCACGGGCAAGATCTGTGTCCCCATCGACCACCGCAGAGCCGAAGAATTCAACCCCCTTACCGTGCCGACGGTCACCGAACTGCTATCCGAAATCGACAGCTACGATGCCAAACATCCCCCCAATCACGCGAGCGCCGATCATCATCCCGAGGGAGAGAGCAGCGTCCCCAATGATTCCGACGCGCGAGGCAGCCGCAAACTGCAGGATTACGAGAAGACCAGCTTGAAGCCCTATGTCGAGTACTTCCGCTCGTTCATCGCCTCGCTGCACAAGGAGGAGCGCACGGGCAAGCGGGAGCGGAACGACGAGACTTCCGAGGTGAAGACGGAAGGCATGGAGTTTTAGAGGCTGCTCTTGGTGCTACATACGGATTTACGATTGGATTTTTCTCCTTTGTCCTGGGCTAGTTCGGGCTTTTCTTGACTTGAGCGGGTTTCGGCGTTTGCGCATGTTCCTTTCGAGCTTGTAACCTGGCGTTAGGTTTTTTTCTGTGTTCCCTAGGTTTGAGCTTCCTCGGTTTAGTTATATATCTGCTTGACAAGGTGAATGGCATAATGGCAAATTCTCAAATGGCTAATGATTACTAAATAACGATGTTGTCTCCCAATTCTCAGGCCAAGACAGCCTCGGCAGCTCAAGAAGTCGTATGATCCTCCTGGCAGCAGCCCTGTGACACGTCATGAGCGAACCTGTCAATAATTACAAATTGGTATTCCATTCATTTCTATAATATTGATACACGTGTGGAGACTGATCGGTGATCGCGGATTAGGAGGTCGCCCAAAGATTTGGCGTATGCAGCGATGGTTGAGCTAACACGGCACAAAACAATTACGCATAACATCTTTCCACACTAAACCACCATTAATCCAATAGACAAGAAAAACGAGCTCCCGTTAACCTGCACGGCCGAGGGCCGTATACGGCCCTAACTTAGGCAGAGATGAAGTTCTTGACGCCTGTAAAGCAAAGCGGTTAGATATAGATCGGATGTGGAAGAGCCAGTGCGACTTACTCTCGAGCCAACGGACGTATTCCTTCTGCTCCTTAACCTGGATGTAATCGGGGATCATGTTGGCCAGCTCAGCGTTGACACCGCGCTCCTCCATGTAGCGCTCCAGGAAGTTCTGCAGATCCTCATCCAAGTTCTCGAAAGGAGGACCAGCATACAGACTTTGGCGGGCCCAGTCCTTCTCGGCGGTCTGAGCGTGGGCCAAGTCGGGCTTAGAGAAGTACGAAACCTCCTCGATCTGGAACAGACCGTCCTGGGCAACAGTCTGGATCAGCAGAGAGCCATTTCCAGGCTTCTCGATGGTGACGTTGACGCGAGCAGGGAAGCTCGGCTCCAGGTCCTCCGCATCACGGTCCGCGGGCGCAACGCTGTCTTCGGGTTGCTGGGAAACGTTGCCACCACGTCCCTGGTTGATGCCCTGGAAGTCCTCATCCGAAAGAGCAGCATCATCGAAGTCCTCTTGTTCGCTCAAGTTCTGGATATCGGCGACGGTGAAGGTGAGACGGATCCTATCAAGAAACGGATATTGTTAGGACCGGTCTATATCCGCGAAAGTAGGATATCGCAACAGCGGAATACTCACTCCTCATTGCCGAGTTTCTTAGACAACACAACCTCCTGCTCACCGGGGACGTCCTTGACCTATTTTTTGGATACTGTTAGCCATATTAAATGAATACAGGATAGACACGCTGCACTTACCTCCCAGGAGTTGTTCTGGAGAACGTACTGGACATTCTGGACAGAGGCCTCCAGGTCCTGGAGACCAGAAGCCTTCTCGTGCTTCAATTCATCCTCAAGCTTCGCAACAAGCTCGAAGTCGCCTGCGCAAGATTCAGAGCGATGATTAGCTTGGGTCATTCGAAGTTTCAATGAAAAAATGGAAAGATCAAAGCCGGGGTTGCGCTAGCATATCCCGGTACGACAGATAAAAAGTCCAGATTATTTCTGCCTGGTTTCTTATTGCGACCGGGACCATACGCATTTTCATGAACCAGTATGCTTTGGATCTTACCTTCGGCCTGCTTGAAAGTGCTAGAAGTAGAGAAAGCAGCATATGCGGGCTTCGTAGCCTGCTTCAAAGAAGACTGCAGGAAGGTGTTCTTGGGGACGGCAGCAACGGGACGGAAGGAAGCGCGCGAGGTGGTCGCAATTGACCGCGACACGGTGCGAGGGATAGTACGGGTGAAAGCACGAAGGGACAACATTTTGACGGATGGTGGGAGAGAATAGAGGTAAAGAGATGAGTGTTGACGAGATATGCCGATGGGAGAAAATGCGGAAGGAAAAGAACGGGACAATGATGTGATGTATTTTGCCATCCCGAGAGTTGGCAGATCGGTCCACCGCCAAGACCCGCAGCTCCTCCCGAACAGGAAAAAATCCTAAAAGAGAAAAGTGAGGAAAAGAGACGGAAAATAGATTACTGCGATCGCATCAACTTGTCCGGTCAATCTCCATTGTTTTTTTTTTTTTTTTTTATATTCTTGCATACAAACATCTACATCACTATAATTTTATTCACGATGCCGGTGGCATTAAACAAAGTCCACAAACATATCTCTAAAAAGCGAGGCTCTATTGGAGCACTCCATGAGAACAGCAGAGATGCGAAGAGATTGCGCCGGGCCAATGCGCGAGACGATCGAGTGTCGCGAGTACATGCGACTATGGCGCGGGGCAGACAGTCATACAGTACGCATCGCACCTTATCGACAAGTCTGGTCATGCAGTAGGAAACGAGTTCTCTGACAAATTTCCAGTGGACCGCATTAAATATTTCCATGAAATCGTCCCCGCCGAAGCCGGTGCCTTTTCAGATAACGATATGAAGGACCTAGCCGTCAGGTTTGTGCCTAGCCACGGATCTCTCGATTTGATAGATGTGTGGTCTCATTCTAATCATGTTCCGTCTTTTAGATATATCAATCGCAGTGTTCCTGAAATCGAGCAACTACAAAGCGAACGACGGAAAGGCCGACCCCCCACCCGGCGCGAAGAGGCGCTCTTGCAGCGGACCGATGTCGAGAACAAAGAATTCCAAACGGGGTTCTGGCTGCCCGATTTAAGCCATGTGGATGGGGTCAAGGCTCTTGCCTCGTGGAATGGAGATTGGTCCGCCCTCAGCGCCATGAAATTCATTCGGCTCACCAAGGACGGAAATAAGCAACCATCGGCGTTTCCACCGGGGGGGATGTCATAAACCGACTGTCTTCTTTGACCGCGGTCGTCTGTTCCCAAATCTGCTCTACCACAGCATGTGTCGCATTCTTCCTATCAGATTCATGAAGTAATGGCGTTTATGATGGCTACCTTACATACTAGGCGTATAAATATTGGTATTGTGTTATTTCCTCAGCTATTTCGCCAATACCAGTCACTTTCTCCAGTGATTCTCTGCAACGTAAGGACTCTTGCTGTAATCAAGCAAAACTCGTTCGTAAAGATAAATGTAAATTCTTTCTCTTTGTCTGGTTTGGCGGGCAGAACTGAGGCGGTGAAGACAAAGATGCCTGTCTGGCGCAGTCACCGCCCTGATGGTCGAGATCAGCCAATCACAACGGAGGTTCTCCCATCGCGTCGCGTCTTGATCATTACTGGGGGTAAATCAACCAGGCCTCGACTCACCAGTCAAGCATTCCAGTCTCGTTGCCACCTCAGGTCGTCGGTCGTCCCGGGGTCCAGTCAGCTCTACCCCTTTCCAACCGATCCTCAAAGCAGTCGGCCCCTGGACCCCATCCACTCATGTCCGTGTGAATTATTGTCGAGGATATTCTGCCCTTGCCAAGGTGCCAGGGCAATCATGGGCATCAAAGGTAAATAGGTTGTCTCCACGCGTGACTGTTGATGACGTCTACTGATTGTTTCAATTGTCATTACCAGGACTACATGGCCTTCTCAAATCGATCCAGAAGCCCTGCCATCTGAAGAAGTTTAGCGGGCAAGCTCTTGGGGTGGATGCGTACGGATGGCTACATCGCGGCACGGTCGCTTGCGCGGTCGACCTCGTCCTTGATAAGCCTACAACAAAGTCGGTGACTCGGGAGGACATAGAAATGTGGGCGATTTACTGACTACCATTCAGGCACATTGACTTCGTCCTCAACCGAGTTCGCATGTTGCTTTACTTCGGCGTGATCCCGTATCTCGTTTTCGATGGGGATGACTTGCCTAGCAAGGCTGGCACCGAGTGTGATCGTCAACAGAGACGTCAGCAGAGTAAGGCTCTAGGGCTGGAGCTTCAAAGGAAGGGACGGATCGCGGAAGCCTACCAAGAACTCCAGAAGGCGGTGGATGTGACTCCGTTGATGGCCCGTCAATTGATCGAGGAGCTCAAGAAGTTGAACGTCCAGTACGTTGTGGCGCCGTATGAGGCGGATGCTCAACTCGTCTATCTTGAACGCCAGGGGGTAATTAGTGGTATCATATCGGAAGACTCCGATATGCTTGTGTTTGGCGCAAGAAGACTGCTATCCAAACTGGACCAGCACGGGGATTGTATCGAGATTAACCGGGCCGACTTCACTGCGTGCCGAGAGATTAGCCTGATAGGATGGACGGATGCCGACTTCCGACGGATGTGTATCCTCAGCGGGTGCGATTACTTGGCCAATATCCCAAAGCTCGGTCTGAAGACTGCCTACCGAAGCATTCGCAAATACAAGAACGTGGAAAAGGCGCTGCGTGCGCTCCAATTCGAAAGCCAATATCATGTTCCGACGGATTATCTCCAGAACTTCAGGCAGGCTGAGCTAACCTTCCTGTACCAGCGAGTCTTCTGTCCGAATGCTGCGAAGCTAGTCACACTAACCGCACCTGCCGACAATATCAATCTGGACGAACTGCCGTACATTGGAGCTGATATGGACCCCGAGATCGCAAGAGGGGTCTCTTCTGGCGAATTGCATCCCACGACCAAAGAGCCTCTTGTCCTCAAGACACTCTTGCCAAGCAAGCTGGCTGAACGCAAGCTGGCTATGGGCGTCAATCGCCGGCAGACGCTGGGATCATCGGCCGAACTGAAACCGAATAAGCCCATCAGTTCATTCTTCACCCCAAAGCGCACGCCCCTGGCTGAGTTAGATCCCAATACTATGTCTCCGTCCCCAAGCCAGCAACGGCTTCTGCAACGCCATGCGAACAGTTCCTGGGACAGTACTCCTGCGTCGACTGGCCTGGGTGTCCCCCGGTCCGCTCCATCCATGGCACAATCTCGCCGTGTGTCCAGCCCCCTTGTGCGAAGTGTCGAGCGGAACAATTTCTTGGCCCAGACCTCCCAGGCAACATCCTTGCAGTCTGTAAAGCGACAGCGACTTTGCTCCGAAACTGAAGATAAAGCCCAGACTGATCGAGTCGGTTCGCGCAGCCGATTCTTTGGGGACGAAGTCAGTCCCAGTGGGCAGAAAGTCACTCGAACGAAGAAAGCAAGAAAATCTACGCTGGATGTGTTTGCCGATGACATGGCTGAAGACATCATGTCCCAGATTCCGGACCCATCTCAGGCTTCGATTGAATCAAAGGGAGCCCCGTCCAGCGACCCTGAGAAATTCAATAGTCAAAGCCCAGGAAATCTACAAGATTCGAAGGCCCTGGAGGAACAGGAAGACGCGGCGGAGACGCCCGGCGAACAGCAAGACACTGTCATCCCGCCCAAGGAATCCGTAAGCATTGACAGCAACCCCAAGCTTTTTCATCAAGTACTGGATTATCATGTGGAGAAGCAAAACTCTTCGTTGCTATCCAAGTATACCTTTCAGCCTCGTGGGAAACAGGGCTCGGACAGGGCCAGCAAGCGCAAGGATAGTCACACACCAGGCCCGCGAAGCATGACCCCTACAGGTCCTCGAGGGCCTGCCGCTGGAGGGTCCGGACCATCCCCTCGGCTCACCCCGCTACAGCGCCTGGGTCACAATGCTCTCGCTCGATCACACTCTCTAAACAGCTTGCCACCTCGTGCGGCGGATACACCCCTCACTTCCAGCAAAACCGTGGACCAGCCTGTCCAGAGCCAAGGAAGTGAGGACATGATCATTCCAGACAGTGAGGATGAACCTGACGAGGATGACGGCGGCGAACGGGAACCAATTGCTTTTGATCTGAAGCGCTTCTCCTTTACGAGCAAATAGCTCCAGGTTTCCCCGATGCATTACTAGGCACTGGATGCTGGGCAACTCCAGCTGTCTCGGCGTTGGTATATTTTCCTGTCTCTGTTTTTGTTATTGTGGAATTGGGCATCGGTTCTTGACATGTGGCATGGTAGGAGCCATATTCATATTGGGAGCCGGCATATCATTGTATACACTATTTTGGACGCATTGTGTGGCGACATGGAGCCAACTGTTCGTATGGATACACTACATACTAGCATATAAATATCATCAGGCATAATGGGTATCGTCATGGCAGCAACGTGAAGGAGGCTGGGATAATCTTAGGCACTAGTGGGTACCTCGGGTGGGGCAGATCGAGCGGGCGGCCCGGGCGAGATCAGTAGAGCGGACCCAGTGGGGCAGGCGGTGTAAGTCTGGTTACCGGGGAACGGTCGGTGTAAACAAAGCGTGTTGGCCCAGCCTCCTCCATTTGCGATGATCTTCATTCCATCGTCTCCATATCATCGCCTTCCCTCAGTACTCTCTCTCTCTCTCCCAGCCACCGGATTGTTCTGTGCGCTTCACTCGTTGTGGAATCAGGAGGCAGGAAAAGAAAGGACGCAAATCTCTAGCTACGCTCCCCTTCCCTTCCCTCCCCCCCTCTCTCTCCCCTCTTTCCCTATACACTCCCTGAACCTGTCCTTGGCCTTCGCTCGCATTCTCTGCATCTGAACCCCATACTGTGGATTACCCACGAGGGACTGTGATCCAGATCTCTAACCACATCCGCAACTCTTCCAGGTCGTGCTATCCTCGTGCGACACAGGGGACCAGCATTCCTTACGTCTTCCTCATATCGGTCCCATTGGTCGTGTCGCCCTTCATTCCAATTTAAACCATTGTCGCATACCTCCCTTCAGCGTTCCTGAGTTTCAAGCACGTCGACGGAGTGGGTATCAGTGGACTCGAGTGGACTCCATCTCGCCGGATCAATTCATCCCAGGAATTGCACGTGGCTTGACTACTAGCACCGCATCGGTGGGACGAATACGATATCGACGCCCCAACACTCCTTCTCGGGGCCCCGAGAAGTGAGCCAAGTGTGACTACGTGACGGAAGCAAGCAGAGCTCAGATCGCCCATCATGGCGTTCAAATTTGGTGCCGGGTTTACCCGTAAGATATCTATAAGCCTGCCGAAGTAGTAGGAGGTGGATGGTCGCAAGAAACTGACAGCATTACAGGGCTCATTCCAATGATTGGTTATCATCACGTTCTTATGATTATCATTGCAGTGTCTATCATCCTTCTCTGTAAGTTGTGCCCTGTTCCGTTCGTCGGAATGCCGCTGACTGTCGCAGCTTTACTATTGGCCGGGTGCTCCTCATCCTCCCCGCAGATTCCTAGCATTTTCCTCATCTCCATGTACTATGAGAAGTATCAGCCTCTCTTCAACCCGGCCCAAGTGGATCCTGGGGTAGTAACCGCCACTTCGAACATCGTGGGGGGTGCGGAAATGGAGGTTCGCGTGGGCTACTTTGGCATCTGTGTCCAGCCCGATGGCGGATCCTACATTTGCAACTCGAACGCAACGGCGTTAGCAGAGATTGTTACAGTGGACCAGGATCCACTGAATCTGATCTGGGTGGCAGCAACATTCAAAGATGCGGTGGTCTTCCCGTACCTCCTGTAAGACACTATGCTCTCCTCGGATTCGGCTGGATTACGCTAACCTCTTTTTTCCTCCCAGAATCGTTGCTGTTATCCTCGCATTCTTCTGCTTCATCCTTCTGGCCACATTCCCCGGTTGGCACGAAGTAGATTCGGAAGGATCCGAAAAGGAAGTCAAGCCCTTTCCTTCGCGTCCCGTATCCCAGGTCGCATTGGCGCTGATCTTCGTGGCCTCCGTGTTTGTGCTGGTCTCGGTCCTGTGGCAGCACACGGCGTCGGTGGCAGCCAGCACGATCGCGCAAGACATGGGCAACGGCAGCGTCAAGAGTGGCGTCGGCTCATCAGCAATGGTTCTCGGTTGGTTCGGGTTCGCTCTCATGGTAATAGTGACCATAGGGTTACTAGTGATGATCCTCAGTTTGAGCATGCTCAGACAGTTGACAGATGAGGAGTGATCAGCGGTTTTTTGTCCTCTTTGCATTTTTTTTTTTTTTTTCATGTCACGACATTTCTTTGTTTCTCTTTACGTTTCTGGATGACTTTCGATCTTACCTTACTTTACCCCCGACGCTACGACCCCCTACGAACGACAACGAATAATACGACAACCCCCAAACACAACCTCTACGAATGACACGCAAATACCTATTGAGCAAGGCAAGAAGACACAAGTACTCAGCCCTCTCATGTCTATCAATCTTCTCCACCACCTCAAATTGTACATTCCTCCTTCTTCCGCATTTTATTCCCGCAATGTTCATGGTTTACGGATGGTTATGAGTTTCTGTCATGTATAAAAACGATTTCTATGTTTTTCTCCATTTTCTTTTTTTTTTTTGGTGACAAGTAGATATTGCAGACTGGACATATCCCGTAGATTATAAATTGGTCGTAATAGACTGACTAGACGGGAATGAATGAAAAGACTTGTGAAATGATCAATTGGTTTCATTTGGTTTGGTTTGATTTACTCCGTAGTTCCTTGGTGGTTCGCCATAAATAGCAATATAGGTCAATTACGAATCCATCGAGCCGTAAGCACTGTCCACGCGTACCTGCATGATTGTTGCAGTCCGTGGTGTAACATACGTAGTAGTTATATCCGTCTGTCTAGACATCAACAACCCTCCATAGAAGAAAGAGTACGTACCATGTAGATACAAAGCGTGGAGTAGTGAGTAGTGAGTGGGTAGGTAACCAGGTAACTACCTAGTATGACACGCAACACAAGCAATCTAAGCAAATAGCAAGTAAGCAAAGCATGGAAGCAACCAAGGAACACCCAACATGCCTACCTATAGTATCTCCTAAGAGCGAAACTCAAAAGACACATCACGAAGCGGGCCAAGTCCATCTCCGCAGAGAAATAACGCAGTAGAAGATTTATTCAGACACTTGCTTTTCTGGTAACGTAACATGGCTTCTTCCAAGGCTGGATTCAATCCATTACCGGGCGCCTAGTATAATGTCTGGATAGGATTGTTCTCTTAGGGTCGATGAATGGGCTACCGCAGGGGAAGTGCCTTCGTGATGTATCTAATCCCTCTTTAAGCAGGATATCAAAGGACGTCCTCTTATTTCAGGGCTCCCGAACGAGGGCTCCGTGGCTCTAATTACTGGTCGAACTGCAGTCCTTTTACGTCAGGTCATCTACCAAGGTTGTCATGTCGACATAGTTCATATACGTGGGCACATTAACAAGAGTAAGACGGATCTCTCCCGGGCCACTACAGCCCAGTGAACTCAATGCTAGCTTCTAAGCCATTCGACATCAATCAACATCAAAAGTGGAACCAGACGCCGAAAACAATCATTAACAACAAACCCCAGCCCAACTGAACACCGAAACCCGGAACACCTAGAAACAATAACCCGGTGGTGGCAGGTGGGTGTCATGGCCCAGCAAGCGCAACATGCTGAGGAAAATGAAAATTACGGGGACAAAATAAGATGTAAACACAAGAAGGATATATTGCCAGTTCCCCAAAAAAAAAGAAAGGAGAAAGAAAAAGGAGAAAGAGAGACAGCGGAGGCGAGAAGTCCAGTCTCATTTCACCCGGGTGGGGCTCCCCGAGCTGCCGATCCGGCCACTGGCTTTGCGAACCCCTCTGGAGTCACTGCGAGCTTCTGCGGTTCGCCGCGGGCTGGATCGAACCTTGCTCATGGGGATGGCACCACCGCCGGTCTTGGCGCTCACTGGGGTTTTCGGGGCGGCGTAGGCACCCTCCACCCAGTTTTCCCGGTCCTCGTGGATATCGTCGTTCAGCATGTAGCTGGCGGTCACGGTAGCCGAGTAGCTGACGGACCGCTGACTGGGAGACCTTTGGGCGGGGGAGCGTTGGCTAGTGGACCGCTGGTTGGGAGAGGCAATGGGGGACTTGGACGAGCGCTTCGCGAGCAAACGGAGCTGGATTTCTTCTTCACTCTCGCTGCTGTCATTGCTCAGCCGGTGGCTTCGATGACCAGGGGTCTCGCCGCTTCGGCCGGCTTCTTTCTCCACCATCAGACTTCCCGATGTGGTGCGGGAGTAAGGGTGATGGCGGGAATCTTTCCGGTGTGACTTTCGAGGTTGTCCGGGGGTAGGAGCAGGAAGATGTTCGTCCGACTGCGCACCAGTGCCTTCATTATGGTCGATTTCTCCCAGCGCAGACCGCTTGGAGTGGCTGTTGTTGGGAGGCGTAGCAACTGAGGCGTGGTTCGCCCGTTGCTTGGCAGATGGCCTGCCCGGCGTGATGGGAGCAGCCTGCATCTGGGACAACTTCTCCTTCATGGCATCCTCAAACCACCATTCCCGGAAAGAGCCCTGGTTCAGGTGCAGCCAGTGTTGCTGTGGGCCAACCACCATGCCCGGGCGCATGAATCTCATAAACGCGATGATCTCCGTGGCCGCGAACCCATATCGGTAGATCAGATAGGCACCGATCAAACAGCCGGTCCGGCCCAGGCCCGCTTTGCAGTGAACCGCAATTCCGCGGTCCTTGCCCGTGATCATGTCGTGGGCCATCTTAATGAACCGGCGGACCAGTGGCAATGGAGGGCAGGTGCCGTCTTCAAAGATCATGTCCACATGCGTGATGCCCATAGCGGTGAAGTAGGAGGGGGAGTATAGTTCAGAGTTCAACCGTACAACCAAACCCACGTCACGGGACGCAAAATGAGCCAGGACGTTTTTGAAGGGCAACGGAAGCTTAGAGGCAAGAACTTCGGAAATTGTCGAGGGCAGTGCGTCGTACTCCGGGGTGTTGGCGGGGACTGGCGCAATGGGCTCATGTTGGGGAGAGGCGAACGCCAAAAAGTGAGGTGTGACCCAGTTGAAGTCACCCATGTCTACCCGTTCGAACCTCTCATATCTATAATGCCGGTTAGTCTCACTCTTGGCCATCAGGAAGGTTCGTGCTGCATACTCTTCAAGGTTGAACTCCCGCAGCCCGCACAGGTTGTACTCCTTCGCCTTCCATACACCGTAAACCACGTCTTGGATGGTCAAGATAAAATCCGCTTGACTGTATCCGGCATCGCGGAACGGCATATAAGGGGGATCCGCCTGCGCGATCGGGGCGAGAGCAAGATGCGGTGGCCAGGACTGAATGAGAACCATGTAGCACGCAACCAGGCATGCTGCGTTGGATCGGCTTCGTGCGTCCGTCTTAGAATAGAACACCACCGGACGGTCGGCATTGTCACGATCACCAAGGATCTCATGGAAATGAACAGCAAACCGGTAAAGGTGGCCAATGTGGAGCGGGCCAAAGTCCGCGTGGAAGGCGTTGTACAGGAGGGTATCATCGACCGTGAAGTACACGGGGCTTTTTCTCTTGCTACCTGCAGTGCCCGGGGCAGCTCGCGCAGAGCGCTTGCTTGGCGACTTGGACTGTTCGGCGGGGTATGGGAAGGGGGTTCTAGAGTCGGGTGGATGATCATAGGAGGCGAGGTAGAGTCGGTCTGGCGAAGCACCAAGCTGTCAGTCACAGTGTTCACGCACGCGGGGCATCGATCTCGGGTCCCCTGTCCTCCACGCGAGGCCACAAGCCCGGTTGAAAGAGAAAATGGCATCAGACGAACCTTGGATATACTCAATCACCTGTCCGTATCCTCCGATGTTCCCAGACATTTTGCTGGTGGAAATTCGCTGGCACGGACAATGAAATTTCACCACGACAGATCAAAATAAACAATGGGCCTAGTGATGATCGAAGCTCTGGCTATTGCACAGCGCAGTCGCAGTAAATTCTTGTAGAATGTGCACGGTCCCAGCAATGCTGAGAGATACTATAAGTGTGATAGATCTGGTTCAAACGATCATGGCCTGATTTGTTGATACTCCCAAGCAGGTGGCGGTGGTAGTGGTGATGATGATGATAACGGGGGGCAATCCACGACGGCAAATTGAATAAAGATACCCGCGATGAAGCCTGGGGAAGGGGAAAGATGGTGGACCGAGAGAGCAGATGCGCCGTGGAGCAATGGAGAAGAAACGAAGGGAGGGGAAGGAGGGAAAGGTGAAGGATGCTGGGATAAAAAGGCACGAGAAAAGACCTCGAGGCGGGTTGAGACCGTTTTGGTCCAGTTGCGATGCACGCTAACTGGCCGCTGTTATGTTGTGATGTGCCCGATCGGGACTAGTGCCCGCCGTTGACAGGACAACCCTGGCCGCATTGAGTTTAGCGCCGAACTAAACGCCTCAGGCACACCCGGGCAACCACCACTCGCTTATGTCAGCGTCTGCCTTGTGCATGCTGCTGAGTCATTCACATGGTGCAATGTTATGATCGAGACAAAACAACAAAACAAAACAATCCGGTCGCTTCCATGAGGCTGACATTCCTGTCCTATCCTTGTCTTCAAATTTGGTAAGTATCAGACTTACAGGAACATCAGGAACTGATGTCCCGTAGGTTGATCGTTTGTATGTTGGTTGCCGCTAATCGTTCATGGTAGGTAGGGATAGGCAACTATATATATACATTGCACGCAAAGAGTACGCAAAATAACCAGCACATCCATTCAATCAAGATTATCTCGACTGTTCCAACCCATTCTGAAGTCTAAATGCTGGAATATTAAACGTCTCGTTCAGTCTTAGCCTAGCTTTGGCAATTTTCTGACCTTGAGGACACTAAAGCCCATTGACAACAGAAGAAGATGTGACGAGGTTGTGCACCTGTGGCAGAAGGAGCCAACCGTTCGTTGGTCTCCTTAGGCTCCTTGAGCCTTACCGCACTCCATCTGGGGGGTTATATCATTGGACGTGCTTGAAGGTTCCATGGACTTTGGTATAAGGGAAGACTTGATTATATACACCATGTTCCAGACCTGAATGAACCTAATATTCAGGGCCTTGTTCTTCAAATGTATAGAAAAAAAAGGATTTGCTCCACCATGAACATCACTGACATCTTTGGAATGCCGTACTGGTTGGGGTCACTTTTGTTCGTGCTTAAAGTTGAAATTAAGTTCTACAACAACCTTCCTTTACAGAGGTGGACCAGCCTTGGTCGCCTTTTCCGGTGAAGCTGTGTTTCCGCATTGCCTTTGGAGGATATGAATGTTGAGTTGATTCCACCAACCGTCTCTGTGGTCCAGGACGCGATGCACATCATGAGAGAAATGGGTTCACGCCTTCTGCACCAGCATGTTGGTCACAGAGAGTTAGTTGCTCCGACCGTTTGCCTGGGCATTCCATCATCAAGGATCCAGCAAAGCATTGAAGCGATCGTCAAACTCCCCAATCTACGCTGGTCAATTGGACAAGTGAGCTGTCCCAGGGCATTTCAGAGTTTGCGAAAGGGGTTCTCATGATTTCAACCAGTAGCATACCTCCTCAACATGCAAGGTCGAGGATGGACGAATCGAGACATAAATCAACTTTACCCAGAAAAGAAAGAGAGGTATTCGAAAGCATCTTGAGCCTATCGGCACAAATCAATGGAAAGCAAGGACTTGGTTCTCTCTTACTGCTAACAAGAAGAGAAGGAAAGTAGTCGAATTCAACGGGTTCAATTGCAGACCATGGTAATGTGTGCAGAAGTCAGGCTCTCGTCCTAAGGCAGCGACTCCCAGGTCACGCCCCGCCATGTCATTTCCGTGGTTTCCTGTCGGTCTCCAGAATCTCTCATGTCTTCTCTTCTGTTACTTGTGGGGCAGAAATCTCTCCAAACAGACACAACCCCCCTTTTCCACAACCAAGGGACCTTGTGCGCCCCTATGACACCCAAGCTAGAGTGGTGAAATGGCCATCTCCTTGCAAGGCCAAACGAATCTAAGGGACCATGGAGGGAACTGCAACCTATGATCTCTAGTCACGGGCAACTCCAACCTTCTCTATATCTCTGGCGATAGAAAAGAATCATGGGAGGCCAAGCAGTACAAACGGGAGGAGACCGCGGACAAATCCCGGAATTTCTATGGGTCGCTCCGAGCTAATGGCTTGGTAAGTTGGTAGACCTGTTTGTTGCCGCCCTTGCCGGTCCAAGGCACTTTGCCAGAGCATCGGTGAAAGTCCGTGTCCTTGGCATTGTCTTGTTTGTCTAGTGCCATGAGACGTCCATCTAGTGCCATGAGCCATGGGCAGGGCAGGGATTGGTATAGGATGATCCTGGTAATCCCCCCCCGATCGTTTAAACCTACCCCGTATGCCAATTTCTCGCAGGCGTGCCTCCCTCGGAAATACCTCCTCTGCAAATCTACAAGAACAGATTTGGTCACGCCAATCAATAATCATTTTATGGCTCACCCATTACGAATTACCTGGAAATTTAACTTAAGGGGATGTACATTATAACCCAGGTAGAGGCCAATCCTCATAACTGTCCAAAAACCCCTCTATGACCCCTATCTGGCTGGTATGACTACAACGCACGGAAGCTTTGGGAGGGGCGCTTGATGTCCAGTTTCAGCCATGGTTATCAGTGGAGAAAAAAAGGCGCAATTCGAGAGGATCGCCACGGCAATTGTCATGGGCCGTTCCACATCTTTTGTTGGGCGACCATCACCCGGCGGGACCGATTTGCCAATCCGATTCTTTAAGGATGAACGGAAGGTGGGGGCATAATAGACGATCAGCAGGGATGGGAACATGCTAAGAACACGGGCCTGAGTTACTTTCGACCTAACGGGTTCTCATCACATCTGGTTCAGTCCGCCCAGAGAGATGGCAGTCGTAGGTCTTCTTTTTTTTTTTTTCTCTCTTTTGTCTCATTTCTATCTCATTTTGAAGCGGAAACACTTTTCTTTCAAGTTCATCCAAAGTCGTCGATAGGGAAAATTTCCTGATAGAATTCCCCGACAACGTGGGAGTTGGAGGGCGGTAACCACGAACAATGTCGATCCCGCGCACTAAACTCACTATTGCACTTAAGGTTCAACCTAAAAAGTCGCATATGACGTCGATGCTAACGGGGGAGAAGTGTTCTCAATCCTTCCTTATCCCCTCTGTACATCCAAATGATCACTGGTGTGGTCCGACCCGTCTGTCTAGTGAACGCCCTGTGATTTTTCCCGATTCTCGACTGCTTTATAGAATCAGGAGGCGGGTCTTTTTTTGCCAGACTATTGAGGCCATTATCCAGGGTTAGAGGGATGATCTAGACACTATCACTCCACGTGAATGATGGGCTGTGGAATAACTGGAGGACTTGGAGATGATGGAGCACTCCTGTCCAAGTGAACAGCACGCAAGCCCTGATTGGCAGAGCTCTTCCTATCCCCAGCCCCTACGGCGTATAGTACATGCCGTTAGGTTTGATTAAGGGTCCTTGGAGACTTCGAGAGAAATTGTCCCTGAGCAGCTAACACCAAGGTAGTGCCTTAACCGGTGGGGCGGCCCCGGCATGTGGTTTCCAATTGGTCTTCCGAACGGGATTGAAAGCTTATTCACTAGACTCCCGGAGCTTAGGCCTCGAAACAATAGTGTCTAGTGGGGGCTTCCTTTGATTTGGGGTGCGGTAATCCAATCAGTGTGGCCCTGGACCCCAGACAACGATATGGGAGGCAACTTCGCCCGCGTTGATCCCTATTGCCCTCAACGCCGACGAGGTTGAACTGCTCAGACGTCACCGTTCCTCCTTGGGTTCCATTGCTGATACCCCTGATCTACAGATGTCGACTCCATTGGAGTCGAGAGGTGAGGAGATTCAGATTCAGGGGAAAGGGGACTGGCTGTCCGGGGTCGACATTTACTATAAAATGGCCAGTCAGGTCAGCTCTGTATCGCTCTTCTCTTCTTCATCCATCAATCACAAGTCTCTCATTCCAGTCACTCCTTATTCTGTTTGCCTTCGCAGCCTTTCATTCATTATTCAAACTTAAAGTCTTTCTTTAACAACCAAACCACCATCAAAATGAAGTTCACTGGAATCCTCGCTTCCCTGGCCGTTGCCAGCACTGCCTACTCCGCTGCCATCCCTTCTTCGCTCGACTCCCTTCCCGTTGGGCAGCTCAACGTGGTGACCGAGAAGGTCTCCGGCGTCCAGGGCCTCCTGGGCGGCCTCCTCGGTGGCCTGCCTCTGGTCGGTGACCTCACCCAGAACACCCAGCTCAAGAACCTCAAGAGCGGTAAGTTGCATGCCTTTAATCGTATTAGAAATGGCACAGTCTAAGATCTAACCCGCTTGTCTCCACAGAACTCTCCGACCTTGAGACCACCCTCAAGGGCCTGTCCGGCTCCGTCAGCAAGCGCGACGGTACCGAGCAGGTCACCCAGCTCGCCGAGGGCATCGTCAAGAAGGCCGAGAACAGCGCCCTGGAGGTCGAGGGTCTGACCAACCTCCTCTCCCAGCTCTCCGGCTCTACCGGTAAGTATTTCCGATCCAGAAAAAAAAAACACAAAGCACAAGAGTGTCTAACTAAGATGTTTCCCCAGCCGGTGTCCCTCTCGTCGGTGACCTCCTCGACGTCCAGGGCCTCCTGGGCCTGCTCTAAACGGGCATCTCACCCGTTTTCTTCCCGGCCGAGTGATGTAAGCCGTGGGGAGCCTCATACACACACGACATCGAGAAGACAACGACTCTCGCCAGGATATGACGCTCAACGCTGCGATGGTTTCGGAACTTCATTTCTGATATAGATATTAAAGCCGGGCATGGCTTTGATATCTTGGGGAATGGGAGACTTCGTGTACAGTTACCTCCGGTCTATAATTTTTCTATTTCGACGTGTTTTATATTTCGAGCTACGCAGTCTTCATTTGTCTTTCTGTGTAGTTGGGGTTTTGATTTATTTACATATATATATAGTTAGAACGGGCTCAAATCGTATTTGCTGGCAATATAATTGTTTAATTTGGCATTTTCAGTCTGAGATCTAGCATTTCTGGTTCTAGTTGTGGACTCCTGGTGAGCACTCATATGTCCTTGGTATTGTGGAGTGACTGCAATCAGTCAACATGTGACTTGCAGTCCTCGCACAATATTCGTATTTTAGTCTCGTCTTCAACCTTGGAACCTTTTTTGAGGATTCAAGTCATTAATATCATCGCATCTTGGATTGTCTTCCATCCGTGATTCCCCAGGTATGTGCCTGATGGCAAGAGTGATAGTTCCTTTGTCACATCTTCTAATAGTATCCAAGAAGCTGATAAGTGTCCGGTTGACCAGCAGGAGCGGTAAAAGCAAAATAAACCGTGGCCTGTCGAATATTAGAGATGGTTCATGGCCTTGTTCGCATGGCTATTTAAAATTCTATGTCCGTACCTCCTAGTTCTACCTAGGCTGTCTGCTACGGTTGCAGGTTTCAAACCATATCCTCTACCACCACGACATCCATCCCATGATCGTCATCGATACTGTCACTCTTTTTTATCGGTTTCACCGATTGAATTTTACCAATTTCAGTGGAACTGCAAGGTTGCATGTGTCTACTGTCAGAAATACTATCAAAAGAGGTAAACGTCCAGGCAAATAGCCCACGAAAAATCTCAATCAATAGATAGGTATACTATATTTACGCCCTACAGTAAGCCACACGTCCCAAATCTGCCCGAATAAACACTAACTGTCATATTCCCAGATAGAAGACAATGCGTATTCTCCACCAAAGTGGGTGAGCGTCAACATCCTGGAATACGGACATCGTGCGTACAACCTGTCGCCCAGCATATCTACACTAGGTAGGTACCTTGTTCTATTAGGGAATCCTAGTCTCAAGACCAACCAATCACTCCCGAGCCAGATCCACCAAAATAGGATTCTGGAAGGATGGGAGAAGAAGAAAAAAAAAAACCAGGTGGCAAGACGTTTGGATCCTGGTGGATCTCAATTTGTTCGATGGTAATTCGGGGTATGTTCCATCGTAAGAAGGCAGATCAAGCTAAATCGCTTCAAGATAAGCTTAAAGTGAGAAGCGATGGACTACTGCAGTGATGTACTCGTTCGTGTGGCAAATATATGGCTGATGATATATAGGTCGTCGAGGTGGTAGTTCTATATCTACTCTAGATGGACTACACCTTCGGAAACGAAACACTTGCAATAATGCTTCGACTATCAATTCCAAGAGATAAATGGTCAATAAAACCCATACCCAAGATCTCCCAACAGATACCACCCCCAAGTGCCACGAAGTGGAAAATAGAAAAAAAAAAAAAAAACAAAGAACCGACATGAAACCCCTGCGACCTTCACAGCCAGCCAAATATTCCGCGGCACGTAATCTAACGGCGTAAAACAACCCACGTAATTACACAACACAATTCAATACCGACCCCACAGCCGGGACGACCCGCGTGGGGAACCAAGCTAACAGCGATAGAGCGTCGTTGAAGGATCCACATTCCAAGGAAACAGAGCATATATGACGTCATTGTGACGCTGGAGTTGGCGTGTTGGCCCCCAAATGGTGGGGGTACGATGTGATCTATTCCTGTTTGGTTTCGCGCTGGGGGTATGATACGGGTGGGATGGTATTTTTTGTGTCTTTGTCTATATGCACGCACATATTGTTTTACAGAAATGTTACATACTGGATATGCGGTGGCATTTTACTTGAGATACTAGATATCAATGTTAATCTTAAGACTAAATTCCGTGAACTGAGCTTTACCTTGTTCCTGAGACTGGTAGGTACCTACCTAAGGTAAGTATGTGCCAAAAAAAAAATAGACACATCTACCAAAGTACCAAATACGAACGAATTTAAGGTTAGGTTATGACTACTATTTCCACCCGCCACAGGGACAGGGACAGGGACAGGGACAGCCAGCCCATTCGTCGAAGCTAACAAAAAGAAGCTTACCTAAGGTAGTCTATTTCCACCCACCTATCTGCTGTCATCTGCACAACTGACATCACACAACAACCATCTTGAAAAATAAGGATCGCAGTGGACCGAAAGAAGTAGCTCAAGTATGCCCAACGCAAGGACCTTGCTGTACCAAGCAATATATCAGATCAGATCCACCTTGTCTGCAGTGCGTCTGGCCCCCTTCCTTCCGCTGACGCTGGGCAGGGATGGGGCAACGGCTACGTAGGTGGGAAGGAGGGAAATGAGGAGGGGGAGGGGGAGGGGTAAGGTGGGTAGATATTTGAGGGATTTGTATGTATAGAGGTTCTCACGGCTTGGTCTCGGTCGGGTATTATACTATCTATTGCCATAGGTATATATCGGTTTGTTTCTAGTCAACAATGGACGGGCAACTTAAGGCATTGGATGAAGTAATCTGTCGCAAAGATCAGATCACATCCCGGCATTATGGACTGGCCTTGACGGCTATCTACGGTTACGTCTCAAAAGTGGAGGTCTGTCTAAGGTAAGGCTGAATCGTATATAATGAACCTATACTTTATTTGCATGCAATCACACTACCCCAGCGCTCGCTCCAATAGACGCGTCCCTGACGCACAATGTACTTGCCACACCACCCACGGCGGACAAAGTCCCCGTAAGTTAGTAACGGCAGGACCGTATGAATCCAAAACAGCTTCGAATGGGTCGCAGAAGGAATATCGTATTCTCGGATGTGACACAAATTTGAGGGTTGGGTAGGATGTTAATATCGTGTGCGTTCATCCGTCAAGTAGCTCCTCCAGGTAGAAAATAATGAAGCTGTCGATCGTGTATCTTCAACACCCCATACCATATCCAGAATATTGTAGAGATATGGCACAAGGAGAATGGAAAAAGAAAGAAAGGTAAAAGGGGGAGGAAGCCCCCAAAAAGAAGAACAGAATGCTAAAAAAGAACAGAAAGAAAAAAAACAAAACAGACGCATATAACAACAGGGTATCATTGAACGGAGACTCGTGTATTATCCCCGCAACCAAAGTCCCAAGCAGTGTAACACCTGAACTCCCGATGAATGAGAGAAAAAAAAAAAGGGGGACTCTTTTCCGAACCTCTCACACCACGCACCAGGCGCCGATTGAATAGCAGAACACCACCCAGGAGAACAAAACAGTCACTGCTCCAAATGATGAAAAAAAGCACATGATGAGACTGAAATGAAGACACCCAAGGTAAGAAAAAAAATATAATGTAATAACAAAAAAGAAAAGAAAAGAAAAGAAAAAAAAAAAAGTCAGGTATTGATTAGTAGCTCAGCTTGACCTCGACCGCTGGGTTTGGGCCCCCCGGGCTGGGGATCGAGTTGTCAAAAAGGCATGTCTCGGAGAATTCAACAACCATGTCTTGACCTTCGGGAAGGTCCCGGATGACGTCGTCGTCGACCTTGATCTTTAGCCCATTCTGATTGATACGTAGAACGCGGACAATTCTCTGGGGATCAAGAGTCTGCTGCTTCTTGGAGATCTTCTCGATGAGGTCTCGGACGGTGCGTTCGGTCAAGTATACTGCGCGGTAATAGTCGTCCTGGTCATTTCGGGGGAAGCGAATATAGAAGCATGCAACTAGAGAACTGTTAGCCTTGCCCATGCGTGTGAGGGTATTCCCAAAACTTACTAGGTTTAGGGCGTTGTTCCGCAGGCGGCCTGTACGTCGGGTCAATGTCGACTGCCTCGATGTAACCCATGGGACCATTGGTCTCTCCACTGGCGGGTTTCTGTATCTTGACTGGGTGGTTTAAGAGGGGCAGTTCTCCATGGATCCCGGAGCCTGGTCGTGAACTCTCCGAAGACGCGTTCCCCGCGTACCCAGAGTCGTAAAACACACTCGACGGTCGTTGTAGGGCTGCGACCGGCGAATTTAGCGACATCGCGCTCGTTGGTGGAGACAAGGCCTGGAACGAGGATGGAGTTCCACCCCTATTGGACTGAGCTTTGCTAACACCATCCTTCTTAGCAAAGTTGCGCGCTTCGGGAAGTTCAACAGGGAACAAGTCCGGATCATCTTCGTCGTCACCTCGCAGTGCGAGGATGCTCACAGGCGCGGTAGAGGTGAACATCTCTTGCATCGCTGCCAGTTTGACACGGAGGTCATCTTCTATTGACATTCTTTCGGACCCATCCTGAGAACTCATGGACCATGTTCGCTTGTGCTTGGTGATCTTGTTGGGGCGAGAATCCGGATTCTTGAGTGTCAACGGCGCATTGGCGCGCTTGCGTTTGCCGTAATTTCCGGCACCCATTTCAGCCTGAGCAATTTGCTGTCGCAGCTTTTCGATCGATTTCTTGACGTGGGAGACATCGTTCGACAATTTTCGCTCGGCTCCATGGTCCCGGAATAACTTAACTTGGCAATAGCACACCTCTGCGGGATTTTCGGAAGGCGATTCAACATTGTTGGGGACCATTTCAGTCTTAGCACATAGCCTGACTGGGATTCCCTTCACGCCCTTGGAATGGCTAAAGTCCGTAGAAAGGAAATTGAACCGGACGGAGATCGCACAGTTCGATGATCCCATCGCCGGGTTTGCGGTCCACGTGACACAGAATCCATCGAAAGAGGAGCTCTCCACTTGAATCTGTCGGTTCTTGTATTCTTCAGAGCCCCCCTGGATTGGGTCCACATATTCCACTGCCTGCAGCTTTCCGCCTCGTTGATGCGCCTCGTTGGTTCCTCGGCCTTCTTTCCACAGTTGCCAGCAAGAAGCCGGCTTTTTCCTCTGTTCTTCTTCTTGAAAAGAGACGCGGATGAAAGTACGGTATCTCACTGG